AATAAAGGAAATAATTATAAAATATAATTATTTATTTTATTTTTTTCTTATAAAAATAAATTTAACTAAATATCTTTATATATTTATATTTAAATAATTTATTAAATACTATAATTTTTATTTATAATAATTTTTATATGAAATAATATTATATATATATATTTATATTAAAATAAATACATAAAAATATAAAAATAATATAAAATATTTTTTTAAATATAGATATAAACCAATATATTTAATTTATAATATTATTTGAATATTATATTTATTAAATATTATAATTAAAAATAATAATATTTTTTTTAGAAATATATATATTTTTTTGGAATAAATATATATATATATATTTCGGGTGCGAGAATATTTTATTAATTAGATCTATAGGATTTATATATATATATATGATTTTTCTTATATATATATATGATTTTTCTTATATATATTATATATTTATTTATATATATATATTTTTAATATATATTTTTATATAAAATTAATTTAAATATTTTTGAATTATATTAATAATAAGAACATAAAAATATAAATTATATCAAATTATATTATTTTTAATAAAAAATTCCATAAATAATTTAATTTATTAATAATATTATTCTTTAGATAATATTATATCATATAAAATATATATATATAAGAAATTAGATAGAATATATATATATATATTTATTTATTGATATATATTTTAAAAAATATTTTTGATCTATTTATTTTTTAAATTTATATATATATAATATTTATTCAATATATAAAATCTAAAAAATAATAACATTTATATTCTTAAAATTTAATATATATATATATTTTTCAAGATAATATAATATCTTATAAATGATGCAAATTCTCAATAATATATTTATTTAAGTTAGTGTGGTTTCGGTTCGGTTCGGATTGATTTCGGTTTCTAGTATTTATTATAGGTCCGGTTCGGTTCATCTTCAATTTCGGTTCCTGCGATTCCTGGTCGATTTCGGTTCAATTCGATATTTGGGATATTTTATATTAACATTTATTTTATTTTTTCCGGTATCGGAAAAATAAATCCAGATTGCTTCCCGCAAGAGGTTTATTGCTTCCCGCAAGGGGTTTCATAAATAATGATTTTCAAAGAACGGAAAGATTCGGCAATCCAAAGCTTCCTGAAATTACCAATACATACAATTTATTATGAAGAAATTCATATTTATTTTTTTTCATTGAATTCAAAAAATAATTATAATTTTCTACAATTTATTTTTTTCAATTTTTTCATTAAGGGTAAGACGATTCCGGTTGCTCCGATTTAATACATACGATTCCAGCGATTCACGGCTCCTATGGTTCATAGGCTAT